GGGGGGGAAACCAACCACCCCCCTCGTAGCACCCTTCTTGATGGGCGAATTCCCGGTGGGACCCCTTCCACCACCTAGCCGCTAGCCCTCCCAAAAACACCCCTTGAGGGAGGGGTGGTCCTGGGGGAAAACCCACCACCACCCCAACAATCCTCCTTTAGGGGGCGCCCTGGAGAAGGAACCTACCAACCCCCTCCTAAGCCTTCTAAGCCTTCCTTGAGGGGGGGCTGGGGGGGAAACCCACCGGCCCCGTCGCCTGTGCAGTATCTCGCTCTGAAGCGGTTCTACATCCGCGAACGTATGGCCTGCGCAGTCCATGCCCGTTCGGCGCACCTCCTCCTCCCGTTCTTTTCTCTCCGACGCTCTCCCGCTCATCGTTCGGGTCCTCTTCTCCCCCCTCTCTGTTTTCCTTTTGCTCCTCCGCCTCACTGATGGCGCGCGGGTTTGGCTGGCCAGCTGGGCTTCGGTGCGCGCTGCGGTTAGCAGCGCTTCGTCCGCCGGGCCTCGCCCGCGGCGGGCTGGTCGCTGTTGCGTTGTGTTCTTCCAGTTCGTTTTTGTGTGGCAGCCGTGCAGTGGTGCGCTGCAGCGCATTCGCTCCCTCCCCCTCCATGCGCCCTTTTTTCCGTCCCGTCCCCCACAGTTTTTGGGGGGGCAGCGGATGGGTGCGGGATGGCACCCCCCCTTTTCCTTCCCCCCGCCTCCCCCGTGGTGGCGCCGACAGCGTTCCGACATCAGTTTGGAGGTGTCCTGGCCAGGCTTCGGCGGCCAACGGGGCCAGAAGACCGTGCCTTGAACCCTTCCCTTGCGGGGTCTATTTCTGCTGCTCCTCTTCTTCCTAATTATTCCTTTCCCCGCCCTCCCTCCCCACCAGTTTTACCTTGCCACTCACCATCAGTGGATGCACGCGTTGCCCCCCACTTTGGCGCCCAGGTTGCGGGGGCCCCTCAGGCGATAGCGCCGAGACTTATGGCTGTCTGATTGGAATGGTTGGTCGCCTGGGTCTCTGCCCCAGTCGTCGTCGCGTGACAAAATACAGTTGCGAGGTCCGCGCCTTTTCCCTCAAACCTCGCGCCCGCATTGTGAGGAGGTCTCAAATGATAATGTTGCGTTTGACGGTTGGGTGATTGGTCGATTTCGTCGTCGCGGCATTCGCTTGGATCTTTGGCACACCGGCGCAAGGCCGAGTTACAATGGGAGTTGGCTCCCAGATTGGGCGCACGCTCTGATGCGCACAGGGCGTACGCGTTCACGAGCCCTGCGGTGTTCGTGCAGGGTTTGCCCTTGACGTCTCTCGGACGTGTGCATTTTTTCTCGGCGTGGACCATTGAGGAGCATTTTTGATCATTTGGCGAAAAATGCACGCACGAAATCGAAAAATGCACAGGGAATGGACCTCCGAGCGATGGCGAGTTGCCCGGATGCGTGCAGATCACGGCCCACGCGGATCTCGCGTATTTCCTGTCGCCCGTGCAGCGCGAGCGGCCGTGCGGTTCGCACATCGCCGGCTGCCCGTGCGTCCCGCTCGGCCCTCTGCAAGGGACGCCCGTGCGCTTCGCGCAGCCCATGCGGTTTCGCTGGTCCCGTGCTGCCCCCCGCGTCCCATGCCCTGGCAGCGCTCGGACGTGTGCATTTTTTCTCGGCGAGAACCATCGAGGACCATCCTGGACCATCGCGCAGCAAAAAACACGCACGAAACCGAAAAATGCACGGGCAATGGACGTCCGAGCGATGGCAGGATGCGTGTCGCACCGCCCATGTGGATTTTGCGGCCCTTGCGGTTCGCGCAGCTCTCGTGGCCCATGTGGTGCATGCAGTCCCCGCTTCCGGAGCACGTCGCAGTCCTTGCACAGGTGTCGCCCCTGCTACCATGCCCAGCGCGCCTGCGACAAGGGCGTCCCCAGCACGCGGGATAGGATTTGATTGGTGTTCGGGGCGCGCTGTGGTTAGCAACGTTCAACGTTTCGTCCGCCAGGCCTCGTTTGCGGCGGGTTGGTCGCTGTTGCGTTCCAGGTGCATCGGGTGTTCTTCCAGCTTGTTCTAAGCTGCAGCCGCACGGGGGATCGTTGTAGTGCGTTCGTTTCCTCTTTGTCCCTCCCTCGTGCGCGCCTTCCCTTCCTGTTCTTTCCCCCCGTTCCGCGTTTCTTTCTGTTTGCGGATGGGCGTTAAATGGGGCGTTCCATCTTTCTTGTCGGCGGCCGACGGGGGCCGACAGGCTTTACACAGCGACTTTGCTTTGCGGGGGGAGGGGGTTCATTTTCAGTTACTGTTCCTTTTCTCAGAATTGTCCCGTCCCCAATTCCCTCCCTCACCAGCCCCGCCCGTATGCGCGTCGTGCCCCCTTGTCATGGCGCCTGCGACGCGAAGGAAGCTCAAGCGACGGCCCCGTGACGTTTGGCTGTTTGGTTGGGTTGGTCGTTTGGGTGTTGGTCTGCATGGCGGGCTTGTTGGTTGATCGGGTCTTGTTCGTCCTCCTAGTTTGTTCCCCTACCGCGTCCTTCAGCCCCAGCCGGTACAGTCGTCATGGCGCCCTTCCCCCGCCCAACTTGGCCTTTATAAGCATTGCAGGATGCACGTTTCCTCCCCCAGAGCGTGATTCGTATCACGCATTTTTCCAGGACGAACCCCAAATAGGTATTAACCTGGGTTTATAATGTTCCGGGAATCTTGACCAGGGTTCATAGGTCCCCCCCGGAACATTATGAATTTGGGTTTTAATGTTCTGGAACATTGACTAGGGTTCATCATGTTCTCCCCGGAACATTATAAACCCTGGTTTATATCTTTCTGGGGATATTGACCCAAAACATATATTAACCTGGATTATTGACCCCAGTTCATCATGTCCCGGGAATCATGAACCCGGTTTTTGTAATTCTGGAATGATAATAATTATTTATTTCTCCCCAACCCTCGGGTTCCTCACCAGGTTTTTCATGTCGGAATAGTGACCCTGGTTCATTATCTCCAGGAGATACAAACTTTGGTTTATAATGTTCTGGACATATTGACCCCAGGTTCATTTTTCTGGAATGATAATGATTCACCCTGGGGGGTGCCGTTGGAGAGTAATGACCGGACTGAAATAAACCCTGGTTCATAATGTTGGAATAATCATCTTCGGTTGATTATTCCAGAAAGATAATGATTCAGCCGGGGGGGGGGCTCAGCTTGATCCATGCACAGAACAATAAACCATAGGGTACCATCTAAACACGACGAACCTGAGTTTATCATTCCTTGATAATGAACCACGGTCGACGAGGATTTCGCAGGTGGCCTCCATTTTTCGTGTGACGCATCCGCCACCCACCCTCCCGCCTCCTCCCACCCACATCTCATAAGCATGGCAGGTTCACTGACATTCTGGTTCGCTGACGTTCAAACTCGTTCACGTGCAGACTCGATGGCACTTAGACTCACACACGCCCGACGTGGATTCACGCACATCATACTCGCACATAGTCAGAGCCATTCAGACTCACTCGAACTCAAACTCACCCACACTCAGACAAATCACATCATGCACTCAATGCGCCACCGGCAGGTGGCGATCGTGAGGCCATTGCATGAATACGAAAGGTTATGTCCTCGCGCACCAAGACGGCGGCCAAGGTCCGCAGTCTCCCAAGCAGGAGCATTTTGTATCCTCCAATAGTGGGGAGGCGTAACGCTTGATGATCGTTTTTTTGGGGGAGCGATGGCGCTCGTCAACGGTACCGGTTTCACCCCAGCATGTTCAGCGACCTGCCTTTTGCAGATCGTCCTTTTGCAGAAGTCGCGAGGGGCCCAGTCTTCCGCAGCGCCCAGTCTTCTGTTTCGGACCATGTACCGTCAGGACTTGTTTTTGTTCTGTTCCTTGAGTTTGTGTGCTGCACAGTTGATGACAAAGAGCTTGCTGGTTGAATACCACGCTCGTGAGGCTCCTCATCATACTTACCCTGCTCGCAATTTCATTATATGTTGGATGCGTATTTGTGCTCATCGATGGGCAACATCTCCGGAGCAAGTTCAGATCTTGTTCTGCATATAATTCATCGCGTCGTAGTGCGCTGGACGGTTGCAATCGGGGGCGGCAAAACCTTGATGCACTTATGCGCGAGCTTAGGCCAACCTCGATACAACAGGCGTAGCCGTGGGTACCCCAGACACGCAACCACCGCGATATAGTAGGCGTGGCATTTCGGCCCCGAGGAGCGACCCCAGGTGGTCGGACACGCGTTCGTTCGCGGTCAGATTGTGGGAATGTTCTGTGGGAAAAAACACACTGTGGGAAAAAGCACAGTCTGTGGGAACAAAAACACACTGTGTGTGTTTTTTGTGTGTTTTGTGTGTGTTGTGTGTGTGTGCTTTTCCCACACTATGTGTTTTGTGTGTGTATGTGTGTGTGTGTGTGTGTGTGTGTGTGTGTTTGTCCGGCAGTTAGCTTCTTTTGCAAAATTTGCTTTCCTAGTCAGAGGGACGCATGGTCACCGCGACGTAGCGAGGGTGCCACTGTGACACCCCAAGGAGGAACGAACAGAGAGCAACGCACTTGCTCGCCTGCGCCCAGAGTGAGGCGGCCTGCTCGTTGTGCGTGGCAGATCTCTTCGGGGAAAAAAAACGCACAAAAACACACACGTGGGAAAACACACAACAAAGCACACAGTGGGAACAAAAACACACACACGTGTTTTTTTTTCCCACTGTGCTTTTTCCCACAGACTCTTGAGAGCCTGGCGGTCAGCGCGATAAAAAGCGGGCGTGGCATTTGGCCACCCCACCAAAGGAGCCGCCCAGGTGTGGGACACGTGCCCGTTCGCGCCCACAGTGCGGGGATGTCTCCATCCGTTAGCACGTGTGGTGGATCGGACTTCGTCTTCTTCTCCTTCTTCTTCTTCTTCTTCTTCTTGCGAGGGCCAGATGTTCGAGCCGGGGGCTCGCTCCGGAGACGGGGTGAAGCAGGGAGGGGGCGGGCAGCAGCACCATACTGTGGTGGAGTCGGAGCAAGCCCCGCCGCGCGCAGTGTTATGCATTACAGCCGTAAGCCCCCCGTGCTCGCGGGCGGACGTGCCGCGGTCGGCGCGGGCGGCGCCATGGCCAAGCGTTCTGCCCCAGTGGCCACGGCGCGGACAGGAGTCGGGCAACGTTCCTCTTGCCTTAGGTGAGAGGGAGGGGATGATGAGGAGGGGTAGGGGGAGGAGGAGCAGGGAGGGAGGCGGAGGGGTTCGAATTCGTCCGACCCACCCTTTTCACCTTGCGGGAGGCTCGAATTGGGACGATTCGATTAATCCCAGAGGCCCGCGAGTTGAAGGGAACAGCATCTGGGCTTCCCAAATGAGGTCCGTGCAAGTGGGACCAGAGGATCGCGCCCCATCGGCGATGCACCAGAGAGGCGGCTCAATGTGAGACCCGATTTTCTCTGCGCCGGCGTCGCCGTTGCACCACCGACGTCGCCGATGTATCGGCGACGCATGGGTGAGGCGGTGCGATCCTCCACATCTACTCGGACTCTATTTGGAAGGCCTCCAACTAGTAACCCTCGGTCACTTTGGCTTCCTCCTGGGAGCCAGCGTGGGAGACCGTGCCCACACCCCTCTCTCCGAACCTCTGCTTCGAGCCCCTTCCGCCCGCCCCCTTCATCTCTTTGCATGGCGCTGCACAATTGCCACAGCCGGCTTGGGTGGCCTACAGGACCTCGATGTCCAAGGTGTCCCCATCGTGCGATGCGCAAGCAGAGGGGTGCGGGAGCTCTCTACACCGGAGGAGGCGCAGGAGGATGTGGCCGATGAGCAGGAGGATGATGAGGTTGATTGTGAGGAAAGAGGAAGCGGAGGAGGAGGAGGAGGAGGAGGAGGAGGAGGAGGAGGAGCAGGAGGAGGGAGAGGCGGCGCAAGAAAGAGAGGAGGCCAAGGGGCACAGGAAGCGTCGTAGGCGGCGAAGAAGACGTGCCTGCTGTAGCAGCAGGCGCCGTGGCGCCCCCGAGGCACCAGCAGGAGGCGGCGGAGGTGGTGAGAACCCTGCTCGAGGAGGAAAGGGCGGACGGAGGAGAGGATGTCCTTGCCAACGCTACGACGACGCGACGACCGCCCCCCCGTCCCCCGCCCTCCTCCTCTCCCCCCTCTGGTCCTCCGCCTCCCTCCCGCCCCCCCTTCCAGGCCGCCCGCGTTCTAGCGTTCCTGATTGTCCTGAAGTTTCCTTGCCCCCCCCCCCCCGGCCTGGGTCAGGGGCCGTTGCCCGCAGGCCGTGGGGGTGCACAGTGCTGACGTTAGCCGCGCCCTCACACGCCTGACCCTGGTGGCCACCGATCCTAAAGAGGGATTGGTGCCGGGGTCGCTGTGGAAGCCGGAGGAGCAGGAAGCGCAGGAGGGCCAGTGGAAGGTGGGCGGGGGGAGAGGAGGGGGCGGCAACGACGAGGGAGGAGTCGGATCCAGACGTGTGGCCCGCGCTGGGGCGGCAGGCCATTCGGAGTTGCGGGGACGAGGCGCCCATCTCGAGCTGTGGCCAGCCCTGCACGCCGGTGTTTGTCCGATCGAGAAAAGTATGACGTGCCTTGAAGGCCTGCGCGTGGCGAGGAGCTGTTGCGCGAGTGAGGCGGCGGTACCGCCGGACATGATCAGGGGGGAGAGGAGAGTTGCACTCACGGTGCGCGTAGTCGTCGGTGGGCAGAGAGGGGGGAGGGGCGGAGCAGGCGGAAGAGGCCGAGGAGCGTGCTAGGAGGAAGCTCCAGGGTCTTCCCGCGCACCTCGCTGCCTGCGAGGCCGGCCTAACGTTCGGCCTCAGGACGCGTGCTGGCGCGCCCGCGGAGGGCGGCGACGGCCAGCGTGGCGACCAAGGCTCCCCTGGGCACTGCCCTCCCTCGAGGCTCTGCAGAGCCCCCCCCCTCCTCCTCCTCCGCCTCCTCCTCCTCCTCCTCTTCCTCCTCCGCCTCCTCCTCCTCCTCCTCCTCCCCCTCCTCCTCCTCCCCCTCCTCCTCCTCCGCCTCCTCCTCGCCATCATGAGTATCATCTTATCGTCACCCTTCTCCCCCGCCTCCCCCTGCCCCTCCCCCAACCCTTCCTCCTGCCGCCGCCGCTCGTCCCTCCGCCTCAGTTGCTTCCTTGTTCTTCCTCTCCCCTCCGTAGTCATCCCCTTCCTCCGCATTATGAAGCAGCGGTGAAGCGTCTTGGCTCGCCATAGGCCGAATTACAAAATCATGTTCTGAAAACCTTTTGTGGTTTCAGCGAAATGTTCTTAGGACATTTCTGGCTGGGACTGTTTTGTTTTAATACATCGGGCTCGTGTTCCAAGAACACTGGTTTTGTTATAAGAACATTTGGGGGTTCTAAGAACATATCGTGATAGGCCTATAGGAATGCCGGGACGGTCGGTCTCTACTCAACATTCGGATCATGCGCTTGGCAGCGTAGGCCTCGCCCGCAGGCGCGCGGGAACATCGCCAGCACGGATCATCACCACCACCATCGCTATCGTCACAGTGTGCCAGCAGCATCTTGGCAATCATCATTATCGGTCTCATCATCACCCCCCTCATCCTCTATCCCTCTTCACATTTTTTGGGGGGGCAGGTGGGGATCAGGAATAGCGAGGAGGAGGAACACGTTGAGGACGAGGACGTGGACGTGGACGTCAACGAATAGGAGGGCCAGGACCAAGACCGATGCGAGGACGAATAGGAGGGGTACGAGGAGGAGAAGGAGCAGGAGGAGGAGGAGGAGGAGGAGGAGGAGGAGGCGCAGGAGGCGCAGGAGGCGCAGGAATAGGAGGAGGAGCAGGAGGAGGAGCAGGAGGAGGAGGAGGAGGAGGAAGAGGAGGTCGCCGTCGTTGATCCTGTCGCTGGGCGCGCCCGCCAGGCGACAGGAGCCGCGACCAAGCGGCGGCCCAGACCGGCGCCACTCGGCGCTGGGGCCTCAGCGCCCAGTCCGCGTCGCCCGAGGCCGCCAGCGGCGTGGAAGGCGGACTGGCCATGCATCGTGGAGATCTGGGGCAATGCCAGGGCTCGTGGGCGAAAGACATGTTATTTGGACCGTCTGCCGAAGCGAAGTCTAGAGAGCATATGCTGTACACCATGACGACAAACTGAAGTACAATGGTTTAAAATCTGCGGCCCCCTCTACGTGAGCCTCCTGCGTCCAGTAGACAACACGTTCGTGTGTCCGGCCCGTCGTTGTACCGAGCGTAGCTCGCGGTCTGCTGCGTCGAGCTGCTGTACCACACTTTCAGATAGTCTGGAGCCGCGCTGTAAGACCCAATCGTGGCACTTTGGCGAAAGACATATCCGTATCCGTTGCCTCGTAGGCCAGGCCACTGGGACGCCACCCCGTGCGGATAGGGGGGCGTTTTCTCGCGAATGCCCCGCGCGGAACGTGCCAGCGCGGCCGCGTGTCCTCGGGATGGCGCCCCGGAATCCAGACCGCGAGGGGGTGCGGATGCGTATATGTTCGCCGCTCTTGAAGGTGGCACTGGCACAGGGGGGGAAATGGATCGGCCCGCTGATCGCCGATGCTGGTCTGATAGCCCACCCCGCCCAGGACCTTTGTGGATTCGCTGTCAGGGGCCCATCGCTGATCTGCCGTCGACGTATCGCCGTTCCCAGTTCGATGCTTCCCCCCCTGCGCGGGTCCCCCCCATACCGTTGCCCCTCAGGAGATCCGGGCGGCAGGGGGCGCGCCAGTGGACACGATCGGCTGCGACCGCCTGGCAGACCGGCGCGCCTCAGTGGCGGACGCGGAGTGGCAGTGTTTGGTTGCGGCCATGCTCTCTTCGCTCACACGGGACCAGATGACGGCCGCCGCCATGTCCAACCTCCGCAGGCACGGGAACTCCGTGGCCAGCCTCGCCAAGACGACGGAGGCGCGTCTTGCGAAGCTGATCTCGCCCGTGGGCTTCTACGCGACCAAGGCGAAGAATATCAGGGCCACGGCCAAGATCTGTCTGAAACACCACGGCGGCAGGGTCCCACGGACGCTGGAGGAGCTCGTGGCACTGCCTGGCGTCGGGCCGAAGATGGCGCACCTGACGATGCAGTCGGCGTTTGGTGTCGAGGAGGGGATCTGCGTCGACACGCACGTGCACCGCATTGCCAACGCGCTTGGATGGGTGCAGACGAGTGGCCCCGAGGATCGAAGAAGAAGAAGCAACTGCACAAACACAAAGTTCTGGAGGTCCGCGCGGATTTCTCGGATTCGCCTAGGTACTCTCCTTGACGTGCGGAGCGCTCCCATGGCGGGGCAGGAGGCCTTGCCAGCGCCGATCTCAGTGATCCGCGCGGACCTCCAAAAGTGTCTTTTTATATTGCTGTTGGTTTCTCTAAGAGTCTCGAGGAGACCCGCGTCGCGATGGAGGCGTGGCTGCCGCGCAGGCATTGGGGCGAGGCCAATCAGCTGCTGGTGGGGCTGGGCCAGTTGCAGCAGCAGGAGCCTCGCCGGCTGGTGCAGCGCTGCCTGGCGGGACGATCGAGTCTCCGCTCCCTGCGGCTCCTGGCGCGCATATCGAAGAGGAAGCAATTGCATAAACATCAATTGTCTGAGTTCCGACAGTTTATGTTTGTATGTTTCTTCCTCTTCGAGCGTCGGCGTGAGACTGCGCGCTAGCAAGTTCCCGGAGCTGGCCGAGGCGGCCAGGGGCTCCGCGCCGATCCGGAGGCTGCTGGTGTGAGCCGCGCGCGGAACCCCGGGGGGGCGCAGCCGACCAACAGGGGCTGCCTTCGCAGAGATCTCTTCCTCCTCGTCTTCGTCGTCGTCGTCGTCCTCCTCCTCTGGCCGCTTTGCGGCATTCTAAGCGATTCCTGCACCGCCCAGTGGGCCGGCAGCCGCCCGCCTCCGCCTCCTCCTGCCAGGCGTGCCTCCACAATTGCAATGTCAGCTCCTCCTCCTTCTCCTCCCCGCCCTCGTCCGTGCGGTCCTGTTGCCCTACAGGGATGCATTTCCATTGGGGGAAGCGCACCGCTGGCGGACAATCGTGTGAAAACCCTGAAGCGTACCAAGACACCATTCTCAAGACTTCAGTGCAACGAGTCAACCTGGATGTTGCGTTTTGACGGTCCTAAATCTTTCCAGAACACCAGCCCTGTACATTCAACACCTCGAATCATAGTAAGTGTTGCGCCCTGACAACTCTGATTCGCTCCAAAACACCATTTCTGGTGAGTTAGCCATGAGAATCTGTGTAACGCTTGCAGAGTTTTAGGCCGAATGTGCGCGGCGCTAAGGTGAGAGCCACATCTTGAAAAGGAACCGCTCTCAATCCGTGAAACTGCTTTGCTTATGTTGAAAGCGAATGCGCGCGGCGCTAAGGCGAGAACCACATTTTGAAAAGGAAGTGCCCTCAATACATGAAGCCTTGACATTTGTTTAAAAGCGAATGTCCGCGGCGCTCTGGCGAGAACCACATTTTGAAAACTAACCGCCTTCAATCCATGAAACCTCTGTGCATGTTTGAAACGAAAATGCGTGGCGCTGAGGCGAGAGCCACATGTTGAAAAGGAACCGCCGCTAGTCCGCGAAACTCTTGCTAATGTTTATAACGAATGTGCGCGGCGCTAAGGCGAGAACCATATTTCGAAAACCACTTGCCCTCAATCCGTGAAACTGCTGCATCTGTTTAAACGAAGGCGCGCGGCGCTAAGGCGAGAGCCGCCTTTTGAAAACCACCCGCCCTCAATCTGTGAAACTTTTGCCAATGTTTGCAACGAGTGTGCGTGGCGCTAATGCGAGAGTCGCATTTTGGAAGCGATCCGCCCTCCATCTCTGAAACTCAAACGAAACGCTTGGCCCCGCCCTTCTCACTGGCCTCGGGGTGCGACAGGGAGGACTGATTTATAAGGAAAAGGAATGGATGAGGAGGAGGAGGAGGAGGAGGCGGAGGAGGATGGGGATCAGGGAAGATGGGCAGCGGGAGGATGGATGGGGGGTCGAGAAGAGGACACCTGGCTGGGTACTCGGGAACCGGTGCGGCGTGAGAGCACGTGCGACGTTCTTCGACCTCGCCGCCAGCGGCGTCCTCCTCCTCCTCCTCCTCCTCCTCCTCCTCCTCCTCCTCCTCCTCCTCCTCCTCCTCCTCCTCCTCCTCCTCTCGAGGTCGAGCGCGCGCCAGTCTGGCCCCGTCCGCACGGTGCCACAGGACCCAGGACGACCCAGCGAGGGGGCATCCGCTCCCACTTGGGCGTGACGGGCAGGGCCACGGCCCACGAGGAGAAAGGCTTGTTATGAAATCTACGGGTGCAAGCTGGGGCAGTCTGTCGGCGGCCTCCTCATCGGCCCCTTCTCACACCGAGCAGTGTCGTCGCAGACGCTGGCGTCACGAACTGTGGGTCCAGGGGTGTCCACGAGGTCGGCGGGGTCAAGGCAAGCCAGTTGGTGTCGACGAGTGCTCTGCGCCGTGGGGGGCGTGCGCGGGGGACAAGTGCGAGCTGGTCTGAAGGACACTGCTGTGGAAGAAGGCCCAGATGTCGTCGCCTCAGCTTGTGCGTTGAGCTCCGTGGGTGGGGCAAGCCGTGTGCGTGTGTGCGTGCGTGTGTGCGTGCGTGCGTGCGTGCGTGCAGGCGTGTGTATGTGTGTGTGTGTGGGCGCTACTAGACGCGCGCGCGATGGTTGTTCCTCGACTGGCTCCGCCCTGCCGCTGCGCGCAGGGCCGCAAAGCCAGCGAGTGTGTGCGTGTGTGCGCGCGTGGTCCCTGCAGCCATTTCGGCCCTGGCACGTTGGAGGGGGCTTGGGCCCGCCCCTCTCCGCGCCAGATGGCGGCGGCGGCGGCCACTGCCGCGGCACTGCGGCGGCGCCTCGCGCGGGAGGCAGCGCGGCCGCTGGCGGCGCGGGCGGCACAGGCCTCTAGGGCGGCGTCCGGCTCCTCCGGCGGACTTCGGCATCGGGCATCCGATCCCCCTCCCCATCCCCATCCCCTTCGAGACCCCCACCAAATTACCACCCCAGTTGGGGCATGCACTCCTCGAAGCCCGAAGGGAGCGGCCTATCTCCCCCATCCAGGGGGTCAGATCGGCCAGTGGGGCCCAGGCCACGCCGCTGGGGATGGGGGTCGGTGAAACGACACGCAGGACTCAACCCAGAAACGGTGAGCTACCTCAGGGACAGCGCCGCAGAGAGGGAGGTCTACCTGATCGGCACCTCCCACGTCTCCAGGCGGAGCGCCGACGACGTCCGGGATGCCATTCACGCTGTCCAGCCCGACCGTGTGCTGGTGGAGCTCTGCCGTAAGCGCGCAAAGCGACTGCGCAGCGCTGGCAGCGACAACCCGGGCGCCGGCCTCGGCAAAAAGATCCTGAGGGATTTGCAGGGTCTTCTGCTGCGCAGCGGCGCGCGCCCGGGCCTCGGCGTGGAGGTGCTCATGAAGCTGGGCTTTGCGGGGCTCTACGCCGTCCTGCGGCAGTACGGTCTGGTGCCCGGGGTGGATTTCAGGGCCGCCCTGGAAGAGGCCGACAGGCGCGGGCTGCCGGTCTGCTATGGCGACCGCGACATCGACCAGACGCTCGGGCGCTTGAGGGAGGCCCTGTCGGAGGTGTCGTGGAGTCTGCTGGCCAGCCCGCCGCCACCGCCGCCAGAGCTGGAGCGTGTGCTAGGGGAGGATAGCCTCGAGGGGCTCTCCTCCTTCGTGGAGAGGCTGAAGAATCGAAGGCAGATCGCGGCGTTCCGCGACTACCTGTGCGACGTGATGCCAGGAGTGATGGCGGTCATGGTCCGACAGCGCGACGTGAGCATGGCGGAGGAGCTGCTGGTCGAGTGCCCCCCTGGTCGCATCGTCGCCGTGGTGGGCATGGCGCACATGGACGGCATCGAGCAGGAGTGGCAGCGGTGCGGCGGCGAGGTCTTCCTGCACACGGACAATTCCATGAGGTTCTGACCCCTCGCCGGCAGCCGCTGCCACGGTCCGCAGGGCCCTGGCGAGCTCTCCGAGGGCCCGTGCCTCGGGCCTCGCCAGAGGTGCACCTGGGCCCAACGCGGCCCCCGTTTTCCAAGGGAGGCCTGATCCGCTGGCCCCCAGGGCACCCCTCACGAGGCCCAGCGGAGCCCAGGGGCCCCACCCAAACCTTGCGCCAGGGCCACCCAAACCTCACAGCATGGCGTGGCGTGGCGTAGTGAAGAATTGCATCACAAAGCTTTGCAACGCAAAGCATGGCATCGCACAGCGGCCCCGAACATAACATTGCATAGCGAGGCGTTGAAGATCAAAGCGTAGCATGGCATAGCACGACGTGGCTCTTAAGCATTGCATACCACAGGGTCAGCTGAAGGCATGGCATCGCGCAGCGGAACGCAACCTAGCATTGCATTGCATGCCATGGCATGGCACGGAAAATGACGCCCGCGCTGCAGCGGGAGCACGAGTCGGAACGAGCGGAAGCACGGAAATGAGGCCAGCGCTGCAGCGGGAGCACGATTCGGAACGAGCGGGGCCCGAAAATGAGGCCGGCGCCTCAGCGAGAGCAGCATTTTGAAAAAAAGCTGCAGGCGAAAATCCAACTCCGGGGAATCCTGTCTGCCTCCCTCCTGGCCCCTTTTCTCATCCATTCCGTCCTCCAGTTCCTTGAACCCCTCGTGCCGTTTCATGATTATCTCCCGCATTCCGCGTCTTTCTCTTCCCCGCCTTTTCCCTGTCCCTGCCCTCCTCTTTCTCTTACCCCTCCCTGTTGCAGGAAGGAGCGCTGTGAGTACCTGAGCCTTTTGATGATGCAGAAAAATAGAAGAAAGAGAAGAAAGGAAAATGAAGCGAGCTCAAAAGTACAAATTGGTGGCATGCGACTCCCGTGCGACACCCTCTTTGCTCCTTTTGGAATTCGCCTCAAAAGGATTCGATGTGTAATCCACATGGTAGCAAACAATATGTAAATCGCCCAGGTGGATTTTCTTTGGAAGGGAGCAGGGGAAGTTCTGGATCTCCAGGAAGAAAAAAACGAAACAACAAACAAACACATCGCCCTTCCAGTTTTGTTTTGTGTTTCTCCCCCGCTCCGCCCCAGTCCAAAAACAAAACAAGTAAAAACGGGAAGGGCTAATTACGGATTCCTGGTCGTTTTGTTTTTTGTTCAAGGGGGTCCAGAACTTTTTCGACTCCTTTTCACAGGAAGTCATGTGGAGGGCAATTCACACATTGCTTTTATGATGTGGGCTACAAGCAGAATCTGTTTGCGTGGATTTTAGATTTGATGTTTTTTAGTGGGCGATTTACATGTTGATTTCTCTTGTTTGTATTACACAGCGAATCCTTCTATGCTGCTTTTCAATAGGATTCCTTTATGGGTGATTGTCGACTTGATTTCTGTCGGGTGGATTACACATAGAATTTCTTGGCGCGAGTTTATAACAGGCTTTTCTCAACATAGAATTGTCCTATAGGAGTCATAGCTCAAACCCTACTAATCGGTCCGTTGCCCCCCCCCCCCCATTCCTACGCCCCCCCCTAATTCCTATCGCTATGCCTATGCCTATGCCTATGCCTTTGCCTATCCCCCCCCTTTCCAATGGCACACCCCCTTATGTATGCTTGCTTGCTTGCTTGCTTGCGCGTTTGCACGCTTGCTTGCTTGCTGAGTTGCGGATTCCAAGCATGCTCGATTCCTCTGGTTCTTTGATTTGAGTCGTCACATCTATTTGGAGTCAACGCTAGCTGATATTCCTGTAGGGTTTGTAGATTTTGAAGTATTATTGTGTGGAGGTTCCGCCATCCCTAAAAGGATTGTGTTACAGGCGGCTCCGTTCTTAATCATGTTCTATTAGGGGTGGCTGAGCTTTCCAATTGGATTCAAATGCAGGTGGATCCATGTATAGTTGGGCTCACATGTAATAGACGTAGATTCCCGGTGGTGCCATCCTTAATTTGATCCTGGTGGAGGTGGATCCAGTTTTAATAGGATTATGTTAGAGCTGTGTCCTTCCTCAATTGGATTGTATCGCGGATTTCTCCATTATCAATAGGACTATGTTTGAGGCAAATCCATTTCTAATAGGATTACTTTAGCGATGGGCCCATCCCTGATAAAATTATTTGGGAGGTGGGTCCACCGCTCATATGATTTTATCACAGGCGGCTCCACGCCTGATAGGATTCGGTTAAGGATTAGATTGCAAGCGGCTCCCTCCCTGATCCGATTTTAACCGAGGTGGCGCGACGTACATGTTAACTCCGAGTGCGGTGATTACAGATGGCCTCCTTTCTATGGTGCTTTTCAACAAGGTTCTTTGAGTTGGCGGTTTACAAATTGATTACCAGTGTGTGGATGCCACATCGAATCACTGTGTGCGACTTTACACTAGGGTTCCTTGTCGTGGGAATGTATAGACATATGCATATACATACCAATATACGTATACATATACATGTAAATAGACATAAGCATGCACATGCATACTTATATACTTATGCATATACAATAAGACATATATTTAGTTAAAGTATGTATACATAAATAAAACCATGTATATATACACATACATATGTACACCGATACATGTATACATACACAAATATACATGTATGTACATATATACACACCGGTATCTCTCTCCCTCTGCTTAAATATAGACTTGTGTGTATCTCTATCTATCTATATCTCTCTTTCTCTCTCTATATATATATAGATGTAGCGGAGTAGGCTTGGGGGACCGGGCTGGTGCTTGTACCTCCCATTGGCGCCCCCCGAGGAGTTCTTCGGGGGTCCCAGAGCTCCCAAGACGGCCCGGGCCCGCTTCGAAACGGGCCACGACAGGCTGAGAGGGGTCCCAAGAGGGCCCAGGACGGACCCAAGAGGTCCCGAAGACGCCCAAGATGCCCTCAAGACGGCCGACGAGGACCCCAACACGCTCCAGGACGGCCTCAAGAGGCTCTCCAAGAGAGCCCTGCGAGGCAACATTCATACATTTTCTGATTGTTTTTGGAGGTTTTTGGCGTTCCCAAGACGGCCCACGAGGCCCCGAAGAGGGCCCCAAGACGGCCCAGGAGGCTCCCCAGACAACCCAAGTGTGCCCCAAGAAGGGGCCCAGAGGGGGACCACGAACCGATATTTCGAGGTCTCTGGCCCTAGAGTCCACCACTAGGCCCCCAGAGGCCACCAAGAGGCTCCCATGAAGCCCCGTGAGGCCCCCAAAAGGCCCCATGGAAGCCCTAAGCTGCCCCCAAGGGGCTTCCAGGGAACGCGCGAGAGGCCACCCAACACACCCCAACAAATCATGTCTCCAGAAAGCCTTCCAGGGACATAGTTCATCATGGGCCCGAGAGTCTCAGGAGGCTCCGAAGCACCATCACGCTACCAGAGAGTTGTCAGGGAAGTTGATTGGGAACATGACTGATCGCCTTCTCTGCCGACGACGACGACGGCGGCGGCGACGACGACGACGAACATAACCCCGATGTTCGAAACGGTTGTTCGGCGCCTGCCTTCGGGGGTCGTTCTCGGGCCCTGGGGTCGTCGGGCTTCGACCTGGAGTGGAAAACTGCGCCGGATGGATCCTGGGAGGGGTCCATACGACGACGACGAAGACGACGACACGACGAAGACGATGACGACGACGACGACGATGACGACGACGACGGCGCGCCCCAAGAGACGACGACGACATTACGACGACGACGACGACGATGACGGCGCGCCCCAACAGGCTCCCTAAGACGCCCCCAATATCCATGTTCCCAGAAGGCTTTCTTGGAACCCGATTCACCAGGCCTCCGCCCCCCTGCGCAACGATCTTCCCCGCAAGCCTTCCAGAATGCGAATCGACATGCGTGGACTTCTCATTGCCCATAATGCGTTCAGTGTTATGGACACTTTTTCACTTCCCGTTCAATCCACTTGTGGTCCACTACTTCAGTGGAGCAGTGCACTCGTCAAGGCCTGGGGCCTGCTAGAACCTTCGCGCGCGCGAAACGCGCGTGGTTCGAGTTTGTATATAGAGTATATTGTGTGGAGGTGGTCTCATCCTTATAGAAAAAACATTATATTACAGGTGGCTCCGCCTTCAATTCGGTTCTACTAGAGATGGGTCGCAGCCACCTCCAATCGAATCTCATGAGGGGTGGATGCATCCCGAATTTGATTATATCAGAGGTTTGGCCCTAGTTCCCGCAGCATCCAAATAGAGGTGGATGCTTTTTTCAGAGAATTTCGCTCCAAGCGGTCTCATCTTGAAAAAGGATTAGATGGGAGGTGGACCCACTTCGCACCCTTTCAGAAAGCAATCCGTAATAGCATACCATAAAAGATAATATTTGCCACTGATAGAATCTAGTCGGAGGCGGACCCGCCTCTAAAGGAATCTTCTTTAGGATGAAGCCATATGTCTTGAAATTCCAATGAAGGCGGGTCCACTTTTATCAGCATGCTATTAGACGTCGATCCAGTTCTAGTTGGAACCGATTGGAAATCGAGCCGCCTTCTTAATGTAATCCGATTAGGGATGGATCCACCTCTCATGCTATTCGATTAGAGGTGGCTGCGACCACTTCCATTAGAAACCGGTTAAAGGCGAGGCCGGTTGTACTATAACCTTTCTTGGGACGGGGGGCACCACCACCTAAGATAACCTAATTTGTACAGCCCCTACAATAGGAGTCCGCGTGTAAAGTCGCACAAGAAGGCTGAATTTCTAGTACACACATTATGAATCACGAATCACGTTGTAAATCGCACACAAAAGGAATCCTGTTGAAAAGCCGCGCCCAAAAACCAGGATTACATGTGTAAACCACACCAGAAATCAATCAGTAAATCGCGCCACTTCTGATAAAATCCGATCAGCGAGGGAGTCGCTTGTAATCCAAGCCGTGGCAGAGTCGCATTTGGTTTGGAGCCACTTGTAGTAAGATCGTATGAAGGGGTGCAGCCAGCCACCTCTAAGATAATCAAATTGGGGTTGGACAAACCGCTCATGAAAATCTCATCAGAGGTTGATCCACCTCCAACAGAATCCGATCGAGGATGCAGCAATCCGTCATCGAGCTTTTATCCTTAACCTACCTCTACTGGGATCGTGTTAAGGATGGAGCCACCTGGAAAAGGGCCCCATTGAAGGTGATGTCGCTTCGAATGGAGATCGCATTCAAGGTGGACCCCCCAATAGGACCACAGGCGGATCCACCTCTATTTGGATCCGATGGGGAACGGAACCACCTCTAAAAGACGGTTCTAAAGCAAGGATTCGTCCTTCAAGATATTCGGCTAGAGGTGGCTGTGATCCACCTCGTAAAGGATCTCGGCAAAGGCGGAGTCACTTGAAATACCATCCTTTCAGGGATGGAGACACGTCCGCGCAATAGAATTCATCATGCAAATGATCTACAAGACCTATTGTAAAGACGCACGGATCTCCGATATGAAGCCCACACGGTAGGAATCGCTTTGTCAATTTCCCACACATGCAATCCTCTTGAAAAGCTGAACATAGCAGTATTATAGACGTAATCCACGCAATCGAAATCAATATGTAACTCGCGCTACCTCGGATAAAAACCGATGGGGGAAGAAACCACTTGTGTACCAGCATCATGAGATTTGGAGCCTTGTGTAACAGCATGTATAAAGGGGTGCGGCCACCACCAAAGTACTCCTACTAGGGATGGGCCCATTTCTAATGAAGCCCCATCAGAGATGGATCCACCCCTACCAGAGTCTTATTAATGATGGTACAATTAGTAATACAAATCTGTTGGGGAAGATCCCACCTCTAAAACAACTGTATTGGGCAGGGACCCACCTGCTGTATTCCTGTCCTGTTAGCGCTCTTTGTGTCCGATGATAAAAACGAGCTCCCCTACCACCTTGTCCGTTTTTGAACCATCCACGTTCCCCTTTTATTCTCTTCCGGCATCGAAACTCAGGTGCCCTGTTGGCCCCCCCCCGTCTCTTCCCTTCCCCTCCCCGCCAGGCGTCGACCCCCCGACCTCTCCAGGGGCCCTCTGACCCGGGGCCTTGGGCGGAGCCCGGCCGCGGCGGCGAGGGCGCCCCGGGAGACGAAGATCTCTCCCCCCCCCCTCCCCTGCGTCTCGCCTCCCTGCCCTCGCCCGCGCAGGCCGACTTCCGGGCGAGTGGCCCCGAGGTGCGGGGAGAGCCCGAGGAGAGCCCCCGGCTGGTAGGATCAATCTGCGGGGGGGTCAGGAGAGGAGGACGATGGAGGAGCAGGAGGAGGAGCAGAGAGGAGGAGGAGGAGGAGGAGGAGGAGGAGGATGAGGACCAGTATAAATCCAAGACGCATGAACGATGCTGGTATCGACCCTCCCTCCACGCTCCCTCTTCACAGGCCCTCACAGGGATTCATTTCCACTGAGGGAGGTGCCCCGTTGGAAGACAGCCGTTCGAAGATTCTGTGAAGTGTGACATTATGATTCGGAAACGGCCCGCTTGGAAGACAACCATTCTCGGGACTCCAACGCAACGAATCAACTTGTCTGTTGCGTCGTGACAATCCTAAGCGGTGAGGCGCCATTCGTGGGACTTCAGCACCGCGAATCAACGTAACTGTGGCGCCCTGACAGACCTGAATCTCTCCAAAACGCCATTTCTTGTACGTTAACCATGGGAATGCGTGAAGCCCCTGCAACTGTTTACGACGGATGTGCGCGGCGCTGAGGCGAGAGCCACATTTTGAAAAGGAACCGCCTTCAACCCGTAAAGCTCTTGCAACTGTTTAAGACGAATGCGCGCGGCGCAAAGGCGAGAGACACATGCTGCAAACGACCCACCCCCACTCCGTGAAGTGTTGGTAGTTTTTACAACGAATGTTGGCGGTGCCAGGGCGAGAGCCACATTTCGGAAGTGTTCCACCTTCCATCTGTGAAATTGTTGCCAGCCTTCAAGCTTCGGACTCATGAATGGTAAGGAAGCCTCAGGCGAACCCCCAGAGCCACCCTTCAGACTGGCCTCGGGGTGCGACATGGGGGAGCTATTTATAAGGACAGTATTGGAATGGAATGGGGAGGAGGAGGAGGAGGAGGAGGAGGAGGAGGACGAGAGGAGGAAGGGGAGGGGGAGGGGAAGGAGGAACCTGATTTTTCCCCACGGCGACGTCGGTGATGCATCGGGGACGTCAGCGTGGAGAAAATCTGGTTCCACATCGATCCACATCGACGATGCATCTGCGATGCGGCGCGACCCACCGACGCCATCTACTTGGACTCCATTTGGGCGGCATGGAAGGAGTGGTACGGGCGTCGTTCGTCGTTGTATACGTCGTTGCTCAGTCGGCGGCGACGGCGACCACGGCTGGGTTCGGCGTTTGTTGTTGATGTTTGTCCTGCTGGGTTGGCCTTCGTGGTCACGACTGGGCGCAACTTGAAAAACCAGGTCAGGATATACGCCTGGAGGGAGCCAGTGACCCGACCTCGATGGCTGGCGAGAAGGCCGAGGAGGAGGTGGAGGACGACGACGAGATGGAGGGTCGATGATGCGCAAGCAGGAGGAGGGGAGGGTAGAGCCTGCGATCGCCTTGTCGCACCATGCGGGGGGCACCTCCGACGCAAGTGCAAGTCGGAAGATCGACCATGATCAAGCAGTGGCGAGGCGTTTTGGCTCGCCTATAGGCCTACCACAGAATGTTCTAGGAACCTTGTGTGGTCTGCACGAAATGTTCTTAGAACACTTCTGGCTGAGACTGTCTTGTTTTAACACACGGGGCTCATGTTCTAAGAACACTGTCTTTGGCTCTTATCACGTTCTTGGGTTCTGAGGACATGTCGTGGTAGGCCTATGGGAATGCCGGGACGGCCAGTCCCTGCTCGACAGAATACGGCGGATCCAGAGTCCGGGCAGTACCGCGCGGCCCCCCCGCGCCTCGCCGCGCGGCCCGGGCGCGGCATGGCGCCACGATGCTGCCGCGGCGCACTCGCGGCGCGGCCGCGGGCGCGCGGAGGGCGTTGGGCGCGCCGCGCGCGGCCGCCGCGGGCGGTGGCCGGGGGGAGGCTGCCGGGGCCCGTGCTGCTGCCGCTGCTGCCTCCGCGGCTCGGGGTGGGCGGCAGGGCCCCCTCCCCTCTCAGGCGATCGCAGACATGGATCAATCAGTGTCGTTTATCCGATCCCCATCCCCATCCCCATCCCCTTCGAGGCCCCCACCAAATAACCACACCAGTTTGGGATACACCCCTCGAAACCCGAAGGGGACGGCCTATATCCCCATCTAGGGGGGTAAATCGGCCAGTGGGGCCCAGGCCATGCCGCTGGGGATGGGGATCGAAAAAACGATACTCAATCAAAGGGGCTTGAACTAGCGACCAGGGGAAATCGCGGACCTCCGCCGCCCAACGAGGAGCGGCTTCGGCCGCATTTTGGGGAGGGCACACCCCCCGAGCCATGGATTTGGCAACCGCGCGCCAAATCCATGGATCGCTGATCCGTGGAGCGTGTTCCTTTAATGCTTGGAGCATAATGGGCATTATAGCCACCGACCCCCCCTCCCACCCAGCTATAACGTGACGCCCCTCCCCCCCAGTGCGCTCCGGGCACTGCCGCCGTGCACATCGGGCATACGGCGGGGGGGAGGCGTTACATTATACCCCCCTCCCTTGGCCCCTTCCCCGCCCTTATAATGCCCATTATCGCCGAAAATAAAGATTCCCGGGTTCCTGGTTCCGTGCTCCTGGGTTCGGGCCGATTTCGGTGGGTTCCGGGTTCCCGGGTTCCTGGACGATCTCTTTTATCGACAACCATCCATTGATTGGGGTTTTTGCTCTGAAGTATTTCGTTTTTCGGGGGGAGGGGTGGGTGCGATATCTGCTGCGTGCAGCCAGGTTCGGTCCCGCCGCCCAAGCGCGCTCCTAGGTATAGGCGTTGGCTCCCAGCGCCTGGAGGCGTTGGGAAGCCGGCTGCGTGCAGCGGATTCGCGAGCCCCCTTTTCGTTGTGCCCCCTCTCGTCCAACGAGGCTTCGATCGAAACAGAGGCGGGTCAAAGATAGGGAGGGGGAAACAGTATCAATGGCACGCCGCCATCGGTCGGCGACTACAGAGGATGTGGTTACGAAGGGATGCGGTTTGCGATCGGCGCCGTTGGGGCTCAGGAGGCAACCATGTTGCGCCAAGCGTTTGCTGAGCCCTCGTCAGGGCGTCCTCGCCCGCCCCCCCCGGGTGCGGGTTGCAAGCCACAGCTTCTGCGAACCACCCCCTTCGGAGTCGCCGAGTCAGGAGCCCGTCAGCGTGGTACTCCTTCGTTTTTGTCTGCAAGCCAGGTGTTTCTTCAACGGTAGTATGTTGATGGGCTCCGCAAGGCGGCGTGTCATTGATATTGTTTTCGCTCGACAAAACAGTTGTTTGCTCAAGCGCTCGAGCTTTCACAGTCTCAGTCCGCTCGTCAGGAGCCTGAGGGGAAAGGCGGCCGCTGCTATCGCGCCCCCGCCCATCCATCCTCCCTCCCGCCTTCCCCCTCCCCCTGCTCACTCCACCTCGTCCTCCTGTCCAACCATTATCCTGTATCAAGCTGCCTGCGGCAAACACTCTCAGGCGATTTCTTGCTTGCAAGTATCGAGCTTCTCAAAACCAACTGGCCGCTCAGACAAGGATACACCCCCAGGTTGCAATTCGGAGGCACCACTATCAAGGATGGACGCCTGCCCATCGTATACATATATATATATATATCGCCGAGTTTGGCCCAAAATGTTTTGGCCAGTCGAACACCCCACACAAAGTTTGGGGATCGGGGTAGCCCAGCGTAGCAGCGCACTAGCGCATCAGCGCAGCAGGAAGGAGGTTGAGCTTAAGCTCCGCTCCAGCACAGCGCTCTGTTTGAACTGACGCGGGTTAGGACGCGCATCCTTGTCTTCATTTCTCCTTCCTCATCCTTTTCTCCGTCCTCCTTCTTGATTATATGTTAGAAATTCTTGGGGGTTTATTCCGTGCCCTTTGGAGGCTTGAGCCACCCTGGAGGCCTCTTATGGGGCTTCTTGGGTATTGAGGGCCCGTTAGGGGCCGTCGGGGAACTCGGGGCCATCCTGGGCTCGATACGTCTGTAGGGTTCTCCAGAGAAGGCTCGGTTGATTAATCGTTGGGCGACTGGGTGTGTTTCGGGACCGTCTCTGGTCGATGCCGTCCTGGGGGGTCTTCCGGCAATCTTGGGGCTGCCTTGGGGCGCTCTTAGGGCGGGTTTGGAGCGCCTTGGTGGCTTCGTGAGGCTCTCTGATGCTTTCCCGAGGCTATCTCTAACCGCCGAGCACATGTATGCGTTGTTGGTCTTTCAATGTGTTTCACCACTAAGGGCGTCGCTGGAGGCATTTTTTGGCCGACGCGTGCTGCGAGGGTGGGGTTCGGCCTTAGAAATATTACAATAAGTTTGACCAGACAACAGAGGCATTCCAACGCAACCCAGCCCGCCGCAATCACGGCGGATCGGTGTATTTCGGGCTCACACGATTGCCGTTGGGGCACAAACAAAACCGAAACGTAGAAAAGAGGCCGTCTTCTTATGGCTCGGGCCCCTGGATCAGCTCAGGGTGCCAGAGGCCCACCCCTCTTTCAGGGCTTGGCAGGATCAGGTGATGGGCTTGTTTTCCACCACCACCATAAATTGAGGGGGGGGTCTTCCTCCTTTTCCTCCTCCTCCTCTTCTTCCACAGAGATCCAGTTCCTTTTTCAATATGAGCACCACCTTCATCCGCATTGTTATGTACATCGTATAAAGATTACCGATAAGAAAGTCACCAGGCGGCACGAGCTGTGGCATTCTTCATCATTTCCTTGCAGGAGCTGGATGACACTGCAGTTTCATACGTGAGCACGTTCAGGTTGAGGGTCTCGCGCCACTGGCTGTTGAGTAGGTGCGGGGCGCCGCCAGGGCCATGAGAGCCAAGGCGGGCCTGGGCATCGACCGTATCTCAGCAGTGGATATGGAGCGCCTGCCCGACGACGCCCTCGCCGAACCATGTGAGGTGTAGCGCATGGTCGAGGAGGGCCTGTCCTGGCCGTGGCAGGTGCTTACTTGCACGAGGCGCCTGCTCGGCAAGAAATCAGAAGGATATCGAGTCATTGGGTTGCTCGCCATGTTGCGTCGCACTGATTCGATGGCGCGTGAGAGTCTCACGCGTGAGCGGAGCGTCGACGAGGGGCCCGCGTGGGACGCAGCCGTCGTTCAGAATAGCGCGCCGCGGGAGGCATTCGCACGTTT